TTCTTTTCTTTATTGTCCTTTTCTCCTTCTTTTTCCTTCTTTTCTTTCTTTTCCTTTTCCTTTTTTTGCTCCTTTGTTCCCTTGTTTGTTCCTACTTCTGGTTTCTCATTCCCCTGAGTACTACGTTGTCCGCTTGCTCCTGCTCTGTAGTTCTTAACTTTCTCGGTTAAAATACTCTCCCCCTTCTCCTTCTTTCGGCTAATACATGCCTGTATTGTTTTGTCGAAACCACCTGCCAGTTTGTCAAGTGGTTTGCCCTTCACATCATTTCCGTTTTTGCTATCAAGAACTTTTAGAAATAAACTTTCATATGCCTTCTGGAAGCATTCCAATTCACACAGAAGTTCCCTCTTGCATTCTTCCCATAACTTTAACTTGTTCTCCTCTGACAAATTCTTGCCCTTCGCTATGCCATAAAACAACTTCTGCATATAGTCTACCATGGCGTAATATTCCCTTTCTAAATATATCACATGGTAAAAAAATGTAACATATGCATCTTTTTTATTAAGTCGAGAACAATATTTGTTCCGCAAGCCTAATGTCGCCTGGTTCATGAGATTCTGTGAAAGATCATCCATGGTGCAACCATATGGCAGCTCTGATTGGTACTTTTCCAAGACACGAGCTTTCCACCTAGGGTAAGCGCCCCCACAGTGTTCATCTTCATTGGCTTCCTGTTGCAATGAAGGCATTGCAGTTTCTTTTTTTCCGGGCTCTGTCACTTCTCCCTGTTGTGGCGGCACTTGTGGTTGTTGTGATCCTGAGTGCCCAGGTGCTTCCTGTGTCTCAGGTGCTTTTGGTTTCCTGGGTAGTTTCTTTTTCCATGGTAATTTCCATTTCCCCTGTGGTTTTTGGTTCTCAGCTACTTCCGGTTTATTAGGTGCATCTGATTTATCCGACTTACCAGCGGACGCGTTTTCTTTGGGGGGACCTTCACTAGGACTACCACGAAGTTTATTATTTTGTTCTGGTGTTTGTTTGCTGGCTTCACCATTTACTGTAGTTTCTTTTGACTCCTGTCCCTCGTTTTCGCCCTGTTCCTCATTTTGTGTGGATGCTGGCAATGACAGTTCTGATTCAACCTTAGGATCTGATGATCCGGACTCTTCAGTGGGCACCTTGGTTTCAGGAGAGGAGTCTCCACTGGGATTAACGGGAGTTTTATCCTGTTCTACTGTTTGCACATCGGTTTCACCTTTCGAAGAAGGTTCTTCAGGCTTCTTATCTGCTTTTTCGGCTTGTTCCTCATTTTTTGGGGACGCTGACAATGACCCTTCTGATTCAACCTTGGGATCTGATGATCCGGACT